TTATCTAAAGTCAAGTCTCTGAGATAAAGTAGTGATTTTAAGTTTTAACCAATTTTTTGAAAAAAAAAACAAAAAAAACAAAAAAACACTCTTGTATGCCAATAGTACTGTGACTTTATAATATCTGTGATAATTTCACAGTTTTTTTTTTTTTTTTTTTTTCCCGGTACAGGGAACTGAACTCATGACCTTGTGCTTGCTAGGCAGGCGCCATGCCACTGAGCTAAATCCCTAGCCCCAATTTCACACTTTTAAAAAGCACTTTAAACTGCGAGTGGTGCTGCATGGCTGTAATCCCAGCACTCCACAGGAGGACTGCAAGTTTGAGCCTAGCCTAGGCCACTTGGTGACTCTGCAAGACCCTGTCTCAAAAATAAAAAATGAAAGGGGCTGGGGATTTAGCTCAGGGGCACAGCGCCTGTCTGGCAAGTGCAAGGTTGTGAGTTCGATTCCTGGTACCAGAAGAAAAACAAAAACAAAAACAAAACAAAACAAAACAGAATAAAAAATTAAAAAGATGAGGGTGTAGCTCAGTGCAAAAGGCCTGGGTCCAACCTCTAGTACTGCCCACCTCCAAAAAAGAAAAGGCAAGATGTGGGAAAATGCATGGACCTGTGGAGTGTGCATGTGGAGGTTCCTTAAGGATCTGGACAGCGTAACATGGAGGTTCTCTCTAATCTGCTCTCCACTGCTGTACATGTGGGGAACTGTAAGAAAGGGCTGCCAGGGCTGGGGATTTAGCTCAGCGGCACAGCACCTGCCTGGCAAGCTCGAGGTCGTGAGTTCAATTCCCGATACCAGGAAAAAAAAAAAAAAAAAAAAAAGAAAGGGCTGCCTACAAATGTTCTCATTCTATCCAGCTGAGGACAACAATTCAAAATAAAACTCTACCAGATAAATACTTTCAAATAATGTTTTCCTCATATTCAACAACCAATAAAATGAAGTGTATAGGAGATAGACAAGGCCTACTCTGCCATTTCAGGGGAACGTGGACTTGCTCATTAAATCAAAAAAGTCCTTTAACCATGTTGATTGATCTTATGACATCTGTCATTTTTCTCTTCAATGAACTTGTGTTTTGTTTTGTTTTTGTCTTACCTTTTTGAGACAGGTTTCACTATACAGTTCAGGGGGGCCTTGAACTCTGTAGCCCAAGCTGGCCTCAAACTTCCAGCAATCAGCCGGGCGTGGTGGCACATACCTGTAATCCCAGCACACAGGAGGCTGAGGCAGGAGGATCATTGTGAGTTCTAGACCAGCCTGGGCTACAAAGTGAGCTCAAGGCCAGCCTGAACTGCATAGCGAGACCCTGTCTCAAAAAGACAAAAAAAACCAACAAACAAAAAACAAAAAAATTTACAGCAATCCTCCTGCTTCAGCCTCCTGAGTGCTGGGATTACAGGTGTGTACCACCACATCCAGCATAATGAACTTATATTTGTGTTGAAAAACATACAGACCATATAAAAGTATGATTTTGGTTAATAAAACTAAAATGTTTATTTAAATATCAATGATTATATATTGATGCATATGGTTAACCCTCTAATTACTTCAAACATCTTAGTAAAAAAATCCCAAATAAATGTTTTTCTGATATATATGCAGAAAAGACTCTTTAAAAAAAAACTATTCATAAATTATACCTAATCTTAATTGTAATAAGCACATATTAAAACAGAACCAGGCATGGGAGCACACACCTGTAATCCCAGCACTTGGAAGACTGAGGCAGGAGGATCTCAAGTGCAAGGACAGCCTGGATCACAAGCAAGTTGAGGGGAACTTGAGCTATGTAGCAAGATCTTGTCTCAAAAAAACCCCAAAGTAATAATAATAAAAATAATAAGAGATTTTTCAAGTAAAATTTTTATGAAAAAAATAGAGGAAAAGTTGATTTTTAAAAACAATTTCACTGATTAAACTATGATTTAAATAGATTTTAACTTAAATGAAATCACTCTGTTGGGGCTACGGCGTATAAAAATCAGTAAGAGCAGCACATTCACCACTTGGAAATCATGAATAGTTTATGCGGCTTGCAAGCACCAACCTTTCCCCCTGTGATAAACAGCACCACCCAAAAAATGACAACCAGATTAGTTTCCCTTCTCCTCCTTGCCAAGTAGTTCCAGGACAGCAGAGACGGCACATGTCCGTGCAAAGCCTAGCACACACGTGTGCAACTCCTGTAACGGGAGTAACATCACCTTCCATTCCCAGAAAGCCAGTGCTAGGTATCGGCCCTATTTCCCAGGTGCTGTGCATACAATAACAAAGTACAGCAGGCTTGCCTTGCTGGAGGTTCTGTCCTCAATCACTTTCAGAATACTGTTTTTTCCAAAGGACCCTTGTTGTCAGGATAGCTCAGTGACAAGTGGCACAATTGTGCTCATCAGACAAAAGACAGCAAGCAATCCTCAGGCTCCATCATTGAGTAAATGATTGGCTAATTCCTAGTTAGGGTATTTCTCTTTCTTCAGATAACAAGATCATTCTCCTCATCTGAAACATGTTTTAGCTTTTTTCCTTTACCAAAGATTTACATACTGTAAAATGCACAAATTTTAAATATTCAGACTATTAAGTCTGAACAACTGTACACAACTAGTGATTCTAGCTACAGGTATACAGAAGTTTCTTATACTAGTCTTGCATTTTTTTCGAAGTTAATAATGATATGAAGAAAGCTATCCAAACAGTACACACTTGAATTTTCAATGCACAAATGAAGTATCAAATAGCTTCACTACCCCAGAAAGTTCTCCAGTGCCCTTTTCTGAGCAAGCACAACCCCTACCCAGAGGCAATCACTGTCCTGATTTCTATCATCACACCTTGGTTTTGCCTGTTCTTGTATTCTTCATAAATGGCATCATACAGTACACGCTCGTCTATGTCTGGCTTCTCCTACTCTGAACAGTACTTTTAAGAGTCCTCTCTTGTTGTGTGAATCAGTAGTTCAGTTCCATTGAGAAAGCTGCTATGAACACTTTGTACCAGTATTTTTGTGCACATATATTTCATTCTTGGTGTAGCAAGATTTCACTGAAAAGAAACAAATGAGGTTTCACATATAAATAAGCCTGGGAAGTAAGGGAGTACTGATAGAGCTATAAGCACAAATATGTGTGTGTATGTACATGTTTATATGTAGGTATGTCAACTATATGCATATATATTATACAATGCAAAAAGCAGTATTTGGTATTATATTTACATGTACATATGAACCTGAATAATTATAAGAAGTCAACCTAGGACCAACAAGACATTTTAAAAAGAATTTATAAAGTTCATAGTGAAAATAAATCTAAGAGAGGAGAGATGATCATTCCAGTTTTTCTCAATACTGTACATTTATGTTTTACCTAAGAATCAAAAGGTATAAATAATTCAAGAGAAAAAAATTTCTCTCCATGTAAATTACCCCGTTATGCTTCAATGAAACACTTTTTTCTCATAACACCTCCTCTCAATTAGAATTTCAAAACTACCCATATTACCATTCATTACATAATTTATTATGCTAGAGACAAAATCCAAAATACGTGTTAAGATTGTAAGACTTTTATTGTATTGATTTTTCAAAAAGTCAAACATGAAAATAATTTCACTGGTTAATATTTAACATGGGTAAAAAACATTTCATGCTCATTCAGAATATATTCTGATAAAGGTTCAATCTCCAGGATGTCTTAGCCATTTCAAAAAATAACTTATTGTGATGCTAAGTCTGTGATAACAACATTTTGATTCTCAAATTTTACTGTATAATTTTCATATGACAACAAAGGAGGTGCTTTAATTTACAGAGACAGGAAATTAAGATAGATCTGAGATTCGCACCCTATTTGTGATAATCAGATGACCATTTCCAAGGGACTGTGTCTACAATCATTTGATGTTAGATTGCCAAGACTGAAGCAGAACGCTACACATAGTTTTAGAAATTTACCACTGCCCACCTTAGGAAGGGTTCAAAACTACATAAGAAATAAAACACACTCTTCTAGTTCTTTATTTCTCTTTGCTTTTTATTTCTCCTTCGAAAAACAGGCAATTTCAAAACATACAATTCAAATGTACATTTTCAATCTTAAAACAACATTTTTGCCAGGCATGGTGGCACACATCGGTAATCCTACCACTAGGTAGGCTGAGGCAGGAGGATCATTGCAACTTTAAGGCCAGCCTAAGCTACATAGTGCATTCTAGGCCAGTCTGAACTGCATAGTGAAACTTTGTATCAAAAAACAAAAAACATAGTATTTGGATGTTTCCTAACTTTCATAGATGTGTGACTGTTTGCTTAATCATTTCACTCTGAAAATATATCACTTTCATTTTTCTAATAGATGTACCTTCTTTTGAAAGATGAGAAAGAGTTTTGATTTTTACTACAAAAATGATAACTTCAAAAAAAAAAAATGATAACTTCAAACAGCTACACTCCCTTTCAGCATGTTTGTCTGACTGCTCTGGAGAGTGGAAATAAAATTTTATTCAAAATTTTAAATGTTTTGCTTCCCGATCAAAGGTAAAACACAAGTACCCCAAATATGTGCACAGACCCTACACTCCCTCTGGTGGTCCTTGACTTTCATTAACCAAGTGCTTTCCTAAGGACTAGAAGTAAACACAGATTAACCATGACACACCAATCAATTCTCCTAACAAACTATAAGAAAAACAAAGTATTTCCAGTACCAAAAAATAAGTATTTAAATATCGTTAAAATACCCTTAGTAATGTATTAGCTAAACTGTAAATACAAATGTGCCTACAATAAATTATTTCAATCTGGCCAGGAATAGAGCACAATACTGTTTGCCTAACGTATGTGAGGCGATGGGTTCGATATCCAGTCCCGCACATGTGCTCGCATAGATTAACCTCTTATTTCCAGGACTCCTTTATACAGCAAATAAACATCTTATTTACAAGTTAAACCATGGGGTTATTGTTTTAAGATAACAGTTATATAATGTACCTACCCTTGCTCATGCAGTCTCACGCAGGCAGATTTAATGCCTTTATATTTTGGGAGGACACAATGTCAGAATTTTAAAATGCACTAGGACTGAGGGTGCAGATCAGTGGTCATCCCCTTGCCTAGGCTGCCTGAGATCCTGGCTTAGACTTCCAGCGCTGTAGAAAAGAATGGTAATAAAAGCAAAAAGGGGTAAGGCTGGGGCTGGAACTCTGTAGCAGAGTGTATAAAACCCAAGGTTCAGGCTCTGCACCACAAAAGCAAAACGAAAACAAGAGACACAAAGATGTACTGTAGAAAAATTTAAAAGTATAAAATAATGAAGAAACAAAATGTAATTACTGTTAGTTTCAAAGTTATAAAATGCAGACATGTAATTGTTCAGCATAAATTAATTATAGCATTTTTGCCAAAATATGTACAGTACAGATTCTTCTTTAGGATAGTGTGGAAAACCACATGAAAGGTCTATGGAGGATATTATTAACGCCAGGTACAAATGCATATGACTGCTAAATAAAGTAAGACACCATAACAGCAATCATTTGATCAACCCTTGGATCCAGCTGTTTTGACCTAAGTCCTTGTTTTTGGTAACTTTATTAACTTAAAAATATCTACTTGCTATGCTTTCACCACCACTGCAAGAAACCAGTCTTTTAAAATGAGACCAGGCTGGGCACAGTGGCACACGCCTGTAATATCAGCATTTGGGACACTGAGGCAGGATTGTTGTAAGTTTGAGGCCAGCCTGGGCTACAAAATGAGTTCAAGGTCAGCCTGACTTGCATAGTAAAACTCTGTCTCAAAAAGACAAAAGTAAACTAAAATGAGACCAAAATGTTCCTCTCGGCTGGCTCATCCACAGGAAAAATATGCAGGTGCAGACTGGTGGTGAAGGACTTGCCCAGCCTGCATGAGGCCCTGAGTTCAATCCACAGCACTGCAAAAAGAAAGAAAATGGAATGTAGGACCCCACCAGCCCTGGAACTCAAAAAGAGCCACACCTGAGGGTAACAGCCTTCCACAGTCCCAATTCCAACTGTGTAGCTGTGAGAACCAACATATGCTTAATTTTGAAACTGAAATGTGGTTGATAATTTCATGATAAGGTCTACCACAAGTGGACAAAAGTCAGTAATTAAAATAGCTCAAAACTGAATTTCAGGATGAGCTTTTAATTAAAAAGTGTTCCTTTACTTAAAGTATTTTAAAAAAATGTTGCCAGGTGTGGCAGTGGACATCTGTAATTCCAGCACTTGGGAGGCTGAGGTAGGAGGATCCTCGTGAATTTGAGGGCAACCTGGGCTA